GCGATGAACGATAACCTGCTTGTCATCTTGCCGACCGACGCTTCGTATTGGCGCATCTGCCGACGGCGTTGCTTGGATCTGCTGCCATATCGCAACCCCAGATTCTAACCTACTCGAGTCACCGCACGGATATCGTTTTCCTCTTTCACGACCAACATGGCTTCATCAATTTTATTGGGCCATTCATCGTCTACCGAATGTAAACAGATACTAGATAGGGAAAGTCAATCACCGGCATTTGACTCACGGCCAAGTCCCCGACCTCGCCACCATCGTGATGAGCACAGACAGGGCATCAGAGCGGTATCGGCTTGTCAAGTTACCCGGTGGAGGTACGTGTATCAATCGCTGATCGCGGAAGTTGTGCGCTTGATTCCGTGGGTACTGTTGGTTAAGGTTTGCTCATTGGTTATCTTATAACCGATGGGCCTCATCTGTACCGGTAGTAGTATAAACAGTAAACCAATTCCGTGCCATCATGCCGTGGCAGCTCTCACGAAACCCAAACATCATGGAGAAGCAACATACAGACCCCCCTCCCGGGGTGACCCCCGAATTAGACGATCTAAAACTGAAGGAAGAAGCAACCCTGGCCCGGGATGTCGGACTGGGACAAGTATTGGAGGTGGAAGCCACCCCAGAGCAGGAACGAAAGGTTCTGCGAAAGCTGGACATAATGTATGTGTAATTTGTATAGTATTGAATGTTCTTTTCTCACTGCTCGAACAAGATTGATTCCTCTGATGGGAGTCTGCTACATGATGCAATACATGGACAAGCTGGCTTTGAGTCAAGCTACTCTGTTCAACCTCAGGCAGGATTTGGTATGTTGCCATTCCCAGCAAGAATAATCTATATTAACTTCAAACAGAACCTCAAGGGACAAGAATATACCTGGACATCTGCTGTCTTCTATTTCGGGTACTTTGCCTGGAGCTGGCCCAGCTCGTATCTCATCGTCCGTCTGCCTATTGGCAAATACATCAGTGCCTCAGTGTTTGTGCATCCCCTAATCCTACCCCATAATACCACTAATACCAAATAGATTAATATGGGGAGGCATCTTAATGTGCCACGCCGCAGCAAAGAACTTCGGGGGTTTAATGGCTGCCCGATTCTTCCTAGGAGTGGGCGAAGCCGCCATTGCCCCGGGATTCTCCCTCATCACCGGCATGTTCTACAAGCGTGAGGAACAACCAGCACGGTACGCCTCCCCCATAACCTTAATATTTAATATCAATATTCAGACTAACAATAACAAGGCAATCGGCCTGGTTCCTCGGAAACTGCATCTCCACCGTCATCGGCGGTGTCGTAGCCTACGGCATCGGCAGCATCAAAACCAACGCCGTATCTAGCTGGCAACTCCTCTTCCTCATCCTCGGTGCCATCACAGCATTCATCTCCTTTTTCCTCATCTTCCTCCTCCCCGACTCCCCCAAAAAGGCCATCTTCCTCACCAAACCCGAGCGCGCCATCGCCATGCACCGCACCCTCGCCAACAAAACCGGTGTCGCGGACGAGGGATCTTTCAGATGGGACCAAGCCTGGCAGGCACTCCGCGACCCTCAAACCTGGTTCTTGGTTTTGTACACCTTCTCCGTGAACCTCTGCAACGGCGGAATCACAAGCGTAATCCTCCCCTCCTCTCTACTATACGTACCAACCCCCATCGAACTAACAATAACCAACCAGTTCTCCTCCATAATCATTAACGGCTTTGGCTTCTCCCAAATCCGCTCCCTCCTCATGCAAATGCCTCTTGGCGGCGCCCAAGTCGTCTTCCTCATCCTCACCGCCGGCATCGCAACCTTCGTCCCACACACCCGAATCCTCATGATGATCTTTAACACCCTCACCTCCCTGATCGGCATGATACTCGTCTGGAAGCTCGATGAAGATAACCGTCGAGGCAGACTCACGGGTCTGGCACTGGGCGCTGTCTTCGCCGTCAATATTCCCCTTTCACTGAGCATCATCAGTTCGAATGTCGCGGGGTTCACGAAACGAAGTACCACCAGCGCATTGTTGTTTGTTGCATACTGTGTGGGGAATATTGTCGGGCCGCAGTTCTTTTATACCTCGGAGGAGCCTTATTATCCGGTATGTTTTTCTTCCATTTGTTTATGGAGGGGCGGTAGGCTAATGATGGCGATGTGTAGACAGGTATGAAGGCGGCTACTTCGGGGTTGGCGTTGGGGGCATTCTTCTTGGTGTGTTTGCTGGTGTATTATATCTGGGAGAATAAGCGGAGGGATCGCCTGTATGGAGTTCCGGGCCAGATGACGGAAAGTCAGGAGTTGGCGTTGGGGTTGTCGAGTAAGACGGATTTGGAGATTGAGGATTTTAGATATGTTGTGTAGGTTTTTAATAGAACCAGTACACTTTTGAGGTTTCAATCAGTTTATTTATTGCTAGCGGGTAGATGAGCAGAGGGGAATGAAAAGAGAGGCGAGCTGTGAAGGTATCAGTGGAAATAAATGCACGCTAAGTGAGATTAAGGTGGAGAGAAAGGGGGTTGTTATGGGTCAATCGACTTATATCTAGAAGTGGGAAGGTTCGTAGTGTTTAAATGTAAGTTATTGGTCTATCAGCAGAAAAAGAAAACAACGGCTTGCTCGATAAACAACAGAAGGCCCATTAATCGATGAACGAAAGGTATTAATTGTCATGCCGCGGGTCCCAAAATGGATAGTCATCAGAGAGAATTGGTACATTCCATTCGATGAGTCTCTCGTCGTCCCACAAAGCGTATTGCCACGGACGGTGCTTATTAGTAGCCCCAAACTCATACATGTCATAAAAGACCTGGGCAAAATTGAGATCGTCTCGAAGCCATATCCTCTCCCATGCTAGGTTAGGCCGCTCAAAAGGCGGTAATGATTTCAGGAATTCTCGGAGTCCATTCCTGTCCGTGCCGAAATTGAATTTGTCTGCAGGGTAGAACAGTTCCATTTGATCATTGTCGCTCGGTCGGGGCCAGATTCCAAAGTCATAGAAATATAACCTAAATGATCGCACGTTGATGAGGACCAGGTTCCGGCGGGCGAGGAATTGTTTTTCCCGCAAGATTTTGCATAGGAGTGAGGGCCCTTTCGAGGCCAGGCTCTCTCTCTTGTCCATTGGGTCTTCGAAATCATCACAGTCCGTGTACCAGCAACCGGGTGGAGGTCGTTGATCTTCTGGCAGCTCGTCAAAGAACATACAACCTGTCTGCACCAGGCTGTCGGATACTTCGCGGAGTATCGATTCGTATCGGTAACAGCAGTGTTCCCATAGACAGCTGAATTCTTCAACTTCCCAGGGACTCATATGACCAAAGAACAGACGCCACATCTCCCCGCCAGTGAATACATCTTGCTCCTCTTGCCAATCGTTGTCCTCCGAGGTGTGCTCCGCATCCACAGTACGTTCGATTGAACCGAAGATATTTCCGTAGATCTGCAATCGATAGAAGGCACGGATGATGCGTCGCTTCTCCGTCTCTGTCAAGACCAGAGGTATGATGTCGCTCTCCCACTTGGTCTCATCCATCCATACCGGTCGCCTAATGGTTCTGCAGAAATCTTTTAGGAATAATAGGGCCTGGTTATGTAGATGCAGCAACTGCACTGTCTCCTGGGTATTCGCTGGTTCATCTAGAAGCTGCGCAGGTGGAGTTTCCGGCTGAGGGGTCTTGTAGCTGTAATTTCGGCTCTCAAGGAGTGCGATTATTTTTTCTTTGTTGGATTGCTCGGAAGCGTACAAGCCTCTGGAACGGATGGCGGCTATTGCATCGGTCATGTCAACCAGGCCAGCATGGTGCTTCTGTAGAAGGCTCCGAAGAAGGTCTTTCTTCACTAGCTCAAAAACTTCATAGTACGCAGGCGATGCACGTAATAGCGACCACAGTGTACCGGGATCAGGTATGGTAAATAGGACAGAAATACGCAGTTCCACTGGAATGCCTTCCAGGGTGGGCACAGCCTGATCTGAAGTTAGCACATGCACCGTCAAGAATGGTAATATACACTAACCATGTTCGGAATATGTATTATTTGAGACCCTGTTCCTTTCAGACCAAAGTTGATGGTAAGGAGGTGGTGAGGATGGCGTGAAATATGATAATAAAAATGTAAGAGAAAGCAAGGTGAGGTGAGGGGAAAAAAAAACGAAGATGATCCCGCCGCATCTTTGAGCTGATGCGATTGTCCATCGCCAATTAGTCGCCGACTGGAATTAAGCGCCTTATGTAATACAATCAACTCCATTTTTAGAACTAGAGTTTTTGAATTGTGCCAATGAGCAACCTTTGCTTCATCAAACTAAATTTGGCCTCGCCTTATGCAGCGGCTGACGTACAGAGCTGGTGTCAGGATGCATCGGCGCTTCCAGAGTGAACGGCTCCCCGCCAATCTTTCACTTTCCTTGCCGCCGGGAATACAACCATGCGTGTGCCACTGGTTCTGAGCACCTTTGACTTTAAGGATAGCCTTGTGGTGAGCGCTTTACGTGAGACTTATGCGCTGCTGCTGCATGCACGCACTTCCTGTCATAAATCACATGAAGCCACCACATTGGGAAAGTTGTCACCGATGCCAATCAACTCCACGCCCTAAAACTCGGTGAAACAACCAATGTTTCTTACCCTTGAATGAGCGCGCGCATTCAATGTGTAGGATTTAAGCGCAGGGACTGAGGCTGGTATTCTATTATAAAAAGATCCTCTAGATATGGCTCTACAAGAGAGTTATAAACCAGCTTCGCCGTCTGCCTCTCCCCGTATTCTACAAGACATCATTCAGATCAAAGCAGTTTCCTCAGTAATTCCAAACTTATATACACTATTTTCTTTTTTTCCTGCTATCTTTTATATTATTTACGAACTTCCACTTCAATTCTTTGATACTTTTATAATACTATATATACTTTCCTTGTATCAGTATTCTATATACTATCTGAAATCTTCTTCACTTTTCTTCGCTGATTCATCTGGCTGATATCATCTTCAACAAACGAAAATGAGCCAACGCGGATGGGATCCTAAGAAGACAGTCATCTCCGGGAGAAGAGGCTCGGACGCCAACTACGATATCCGCACTCCATCAAGCTCCCATGTCAATGTTCGACCGAGCCCAAGCTATTACGGCCGCAATTTCCAGAACTCTGCACAGGGACGCTCGTCAAGCTTCGCCTACGGCGACATTAAGGAGCCAAAATTGCCGGATCCATGGGTCAAGGCACCACAGCCATACCCAGAGCGTGTGGAAAAGGAGTACCTTGCCTACAAGGATGCCGGAAAACATCTGACGGCAGTCAGACGGGAGTACAACGCCACTGGTGCGATGGGTGTTTCTGGTAACCAGGGCCCTGCCATGCAGACTCTGAGGCAGGGTGAGCGACTGGCCACTGACATGATAGCCGCTGCCAATACGTAAGTCAGAACAGTGCTTATTGTGGATTTATCAGGAACTTGCTAAAAGAAAAATGTAAACAGAGTGGCCGCATCTCGCAGTGGCTTTGACCACAAGTATCCAACTGCCTATGAGAACCTAGAAAAGAAAGGCACACATCATGATGAGGCCGTAAAGAACCTCAAAACTGCGAGAAACTACCGCAATCAGAGAGAGAAGCTCCGTGGTAAGATCAATGCTCCACCGCGTCCCTAACTGTCGGCTCGAAGGCGTCTCTTCGGGGCGCTGCAGTAAGGAACTTATAAAGCTGGGCAAAGAAAAGGTGGGTAATGTGGCGGCTATGTTTTGTCCTCCCCGGGTTGTTGAAGCTACTGTCAGTTATCTCTGGTCTTTGAGTTACTCATGTTTTTTCTGCATGCTCAGTTGTGTTCTGAACTATTCTTATGTGTCATTGCTTTGTCAAATTCCCGTACTTTCTTGCGTTCCTGTTTGGTGTAATCTATGTTTTAGTTTGGCACAAATTCAATCGTAACTCCTGTCGCTTCTAGTAGAGCCCTAGAAATGCAATAGGTTGACTTCTCATATTATAGCTCTTTTTTGCTTTTAACTTCATATTTGTGTATCAACACAGCCCTCTCAAAGTTCATGGAGCAGGCCCAATCTCTTCTTGATCTGGTGGGTCCTACGTATATCTATTCATCGCAACTGTTCCTACAATATGTTTTTGCACAATAATCATATACAAACATTTTGAGTGCCTGCATAGATATATTAAGCAGATTACACAGTTCACAATTGATTAAATATCCGGATAATATTCCAGTGTCTGGTAGAGACACATTTAATGGAAAATGCCGTGTAAGATGCGTGATCTTACGGCAATGTGAGCTATTATTGTGAATTAACCAGGAAGGTTCCGATCTGTTGGATTTCCCGACGGCTTGTTCCTACGCTCGACCGGAAGCTTCCTTCGACGATCGGGTGGTCTAGAACCCGGCCACAATCTTTAAAAAGGCCTTGTTTTCCGGTCGTTGAGCAGGAACTATCATCAGCCCAATCATTCTTTTATAACGAACTCCAAAACAGTCTAAACACATTAGTTCTCACGGGGTCTATTCAACGACCGGCCAATGAAGCACTTTAGTCAGCTATAGAGCAACTGCTTCGCAATGAATTCATTCAGTGAACGCAAATTTGCTTTTAGCTCAACCAGATTCATACTTTATGGAGGATTCACTTTGGTAGGTGACATACCTCATCTCTTTGTCTGCTTCTCCCATACCCCTTTACTGTTCCACTAGAATCCAACCTTCCTGTGTCTAGCTGGAAATGGATGTGTGGTTTTCGGTCATTCATCGACACAAGCAGTTATGAATCGCGAAATTACTTTTCCTTATACTCCTCACTAATATTGAATATTCCAGCCCAGGAAACATATAAATAACCTTGCTATCTCCCTGTGAACTGCTTTCCTCTCTCTACCCCAGTGCCTCAGTCCGCAACTATACTATATGAACCATCAGTACCGGTGATACCTTGTCTATCGCAGCGTACTTTGCATCGGTAAGTGATTCAATAATGCATGATAGCATATCATGATCTCAAGACTAACTGCCAGGTCAGAAATATATATACTTGAACACGATCCCACAACTGGACATGTTCTACGGGGATTTCGGGCCTCAATGGTCATTTAACAGAGCTATGCACAAGTGATCAGAAAAGGGGTAATTCCTCTGTGCCAGATATACCTTCAACTGAAGAGAAATCCTTTGAATCTTTCATCAAATTACAACCCGGCCATCTCTATCAAGCCATGAAAGCTTAGTTTTGATGTTCTCGGAGGTTGTGTATCGGCACAGCACTGCGCTGCTATTGAGGATACAACTTCCAGGAAATAGAGCTGAAGCGCTCTTCAAGCTTCGCATATGGCGACACCAAAGAGCCCGAGCTGCCTCAACCGTGGGTAGAGTGCACACAGCCGTATACCAAACAAGTCAAGCAAGACTATAACTTGTATAAGGCTGTGTGCAGGGACCTTGCTGCCGTGAGAGCGAGGTTCAAGCGGGCAAGTAGTGCCCTATTCCGTGCTAAGGGCGGAAGACTTCCCACGGTTGGGGAAATGAAGAAATGCGAGGAACTGGCCACACAGGCAATGGTGGCCGCTAATAGGTAGGCCGATATAACTGCAATTCCCAGAGCTTTGAGGTTGCTAACGTTTTCCTGCAAGGTTATAGAGCTGGGGCTGCGAGGAGTGGCTTCATTCACAAATACCCCACCGCCTATGAGGGCCCCAAAGCCACCATTGACCACGAAAACGTGGCCATAGATCAGATAAGATCTGCGAGGAAGTTCCGTAAAATAACGGGAAGGGATACGGCGAAGTATCCCACGAGCGTTCCAAATTGTAAGTTGGGGAGACAGTTAATTTGGACTATCATTGGTTTTCCAATCATTATGATATATGGAGCCCAGCCTTCATTTTTCGGAGAGCTGCAGCAGCAGTCCGATGAGAAATTTGATCCCGAGTGCTGATTGAAGCAATAGCACCAGTGAGCATTTTTTTTTTATTGGCACCAAGTGCAGATGCTCGCCAGCCGGAAACCTTGTCAGTTCTTGAGATGCTTGATAGCCTGCAGAGCAAGTTGGCAATGCTTATGAACATCTTCCCGAGAGAACTTGGACACTTTCGCATCCGTTCTTCGGGAACCCCCAAGAAACCTCTAAGAACCGACATGGCCGGTCGTGGGAAAAGATATCATGTCCCCTTATGTCAGTGAGGTAAAACACAGCGATCGGATAAGTAGGACTCCCTTGTCTCATCAACTGGATATCATGTCGCGGGTTATTACTTGGTGACTTGCACGTAACAGGCTAGCCAATTTTGGCATTTCCTCGTGTTCCCTGTATGTTCAATGATCCTCTTTATTCCATGCATGATTTCACATTACCTTATGCATTGAATGGCATTCTAAGATGCACCCCTGCTTCGGCTGATGAAGCCATAGTGGGCTCAATCAGATTATAGGCTGTGGCCAGGAATATGGATACAAGTTGTTAAATGCATAGTGTGTGATTGAACGGTGGAAATAATGAGATAGACAGACCAACATTTCGGAGCCAGGAAACCAGGACTTGAGCTTGCACTCGCCGTACTGGGCAGACCTATATCCTCACCATTTCTCTTGTATGAAGTGCATAGCTGGCATCTCACTACGCCGCCCGATCGTGTATAAGAACAAGAATTGAATTGAATTGAATCGAATCTTGTATGAAGTAGCAATCTGTATCATTACTGATCTGAGACCCACAATACACCAAATCTTGTCAGAGTCTTGAGAATTCCTGCCAAATGTCGGGTGTTTAAGCGAAACGTAAAGTGACAAGGCATTAGACACTGTATGTGTAGCGCAGCTGCTTTCCAGCAGGCACCGGCAACCCGGTCCAAGCAGTGGTGCGATCATGCCTCGCTCCTTCCTACACTGTCATCTTCACAGCTGCAGCCAGCCTCTTCGCCATCAGATGCCGTTCCTGATCTCAAAATCCCGCAAGCTCTGCGAAAGGCTCACCTGTCTCTACGATCATTTTGCACTTAGTAACTTGGGATCATTTGTATCATTCCGTCAACACCAGATGCTGCTCGAAGCAAGTCAAGCATGGGTGCTTTTGACCACTATTCTCTCAACATTCTACGCTCATTTTGCCAATGGCTATCACATACCTAAGCCGAATATTCCGGGTTTGAAAATACTTTCTATTACCGCATTTCCACTTCAGGACTACCCAATTACGGGGTTGCAGGTGAATCCTATACAGTCGCAGAATGTGACTATCAGCTTCTGGAATGTCACCGTTACCTATACGCATCCGGGCTGGGATGACCTGATTCATGCGCACGTTTGGGTACCATTGTCTGGATGGAACAATCGGCTCCAGGCAGTTGGAGGAGGAGGGTGGGCAGGGCTTGTGGACTATGGCACATTAGCTCTGCCTGTCTATCAAGGATTTGCGGCTGCCGGGTCTGACATGGGCCACGACAGGATTCCTTGGTCAGCAAAATCATGGGCTCTCGAGGATGCCTCGGGCCACGTGAACTTCGCCCGACTGGCTGATTTCTTCTCAACCTGTCTCTATGAGCTGTCGCTTCTCGCCAAGTATATCATACTGGAGTTCTATGGAACACTACCTGCTTACTCTTACTGGAACGGCTGCTCGACTGGTGGGCGGCAGGGATTGGAGATCGCCCAACGATGGCCCGATGCATTCGACGGCATATTGGCGGGGGCGCCAACCATAAATTGGGCGCAGTTCGTCCCTGCAAACTACTGGCCAACATTCGTCATGAACCAGCTTGGGGTCTATCCCTCCCCCTGCGTCATGGAAAAGATAACGGATGCAGCAGTCGCTTACTGCGATGGTCAGGACGGTGTTGTGGATGGAATCATTGCTCTGCCGTCGCTTTGCAACTTTAATCCCCTTACTCTCATAGGGATGGAGGTTTGGTGTGAATGTATCCCCAGTATAATTACTGCGGAAGTGGCATTACTTGCAGTGTCATACTGGGCAGGTCTAACTGCTAAAGATGGGACCCCTTTGTGGTACGGTTTCAATCAGGGTACGCCATGGAACTATACGATCTGTACTGCTACCGATGATATTGGGAATCACCGATGTCATTCTTTGCCCGATTACTTGAGCGTGGATTGGCTGCAATTTTTTGTTGCTCAAGATCCCGATATCGACTTGGTTGACATGGATCAAGCTGAGTTTGAGTCCCTCTTCTATCAATCCATCACCGGATACAAAGCAATTACCGATGCTAATAATCCCGATCTCTACGACTTCAAGAAAAGAGGGGGAAAGATTATCCATTGGCATGGCTTGGCCGATTGGCAAGTTCCTCCAAATGGCTCTGTGGACTACTACAGAAAGGTCCAACTGCGTGATCCATCAGTCCAGGATTTCTATCTCTATTTTGAGGCGCCAGGAGTTGAGCACTGTGGTAATGGAAAAGGACCAGCTCCAACTTGTTTGATGGAGTCATTGATGGCATGGGTTGAAGGAGGCATAGCTCCTGATCATCTGCAGTCTGTCTCTGAGGATGGTGGGATGTCAAGGATTCTCTGTCCCTATCCTGCTACTGCGCAGTATATAGGAGGAGACCCTACAATTGCTTCATCGTTTGTCTGTAAGTAGATTATTCAGCGCACGCGTTCTTTTATTGTATTTTACACTCTTTTGACTGTACACTAGCATTACTAAAGCCCTTGTTAGTCTAATCTGAGTCTTACCGTAAATATACTGTGCTTCATGTTAAACTAGCTTCAGATATGGCTTATTCTCACTCAGACTCTAGACATACTCACAGTTGTGCTCAGGAATGAATTCCCACCTAAACTTTTGAGGTTCTCATGGCGCTAGAAAGATGATAATATAAAACATATACAATACTTCTGTACTCGAGTATACAGATTACCCGAAGCGGAAATCCACCTGACGTCATGATTAGTATTTCAGTTTCCTTCTAGACAACATCACATCTCCTCGAACTGCATTCTCTCTTCAGTCACGAACAAGTGAAAACACCAATTGGCCATGGCATCAGCGTCTCCTCGAAAGAAAGTTGCCATCATAGGTGCCGGGGCAGCAGGCATGGTACAGTCCTCCCCTCCCCTCCCCTCCCAATCACGAACCCCAACCCCAACACCAAATTAACTACCAAAACCCACACAGTCCTGCGCCTCCACCCTATCCCAACACCCAGACAAATTCGAAATCCACCTCTTCGACTCTGCCCCCCACGCCGGCGGCCAAGCAACCTCCATCCCCCTCCCGCCCAACCACGGCGCAACCTGGCTCAACGACGGCGTCCAAGGCGGCTCATCCATATTCCGCCACACATTCAACTTCTTCCGACGCTACGGATACGAGCCTCAACCCGTACAACTCCAAGTATCCTTCGGCAAAGGTCCCGACGGCTTCTTCACCAACATGTTCCCTTCCCCCCTCGTGGACAGATACTCCGCCGAGATCGAGAAACTCGGCCGCGTGCTGAAGTGGATTAAGCGGTTGATGCCATTTCTTGGAATAATGCCTATCAAGATGGTACTTCGGCTGTTCAGGTTCAGTGCAGAGTTCGGAAGTAAGATGGTTCTTCCGCTCATTGCACTGTTCTTGGGCACGGGAAACCAGACGCCGAATGTGTCGAGTGTGTTGTTGGAAAGGCTGTTTGATGATCCGCAGATGAGGTTGTGGGATTTTGATCCCGATATGTTGTTGCCGAATCGGCCGGAGATGTACACGTTTCCGGAGTTGGGGAGGTTTTATGGCGATTGGGTGGGGGATTTGGGGGAGAATAAGGGGGTGAGGGTGAGGTTGGGGACGGAGGTGGAGATATTGGGGAGGGATACTAAGAAGGGGGTGGATTTGAGGGTTTGGGATAGGGGGGATGGGGGTGAGAGAAGGTGGGAGGGGGTGATGCATGATGAGCACTTTGATGAGCTTGTGCTGTGTGTGCCGGCTGATGAGGCGAAGAAGTTGCTGGGTAGGCATGCGACGTGGAGGGAAAAGTATGTTCTAGGTGGCGTGAGGTTCTACGATGATATTACGGTCACGCATAGCGATGCGGACTACTTCAATAGTATCTTCGAAACGAGATATAAGAGTGATCTGTGCGGGAAGGCGTCGAGCGAGGCGCGCAACGAGCAGATCTCGTTCGCGAAGCAGACACCGCGCTGTCGGAAGGACGGGTGGGACGGGTTTGCGCCTATGTACTATACGCATTCTTATGATCAGGATCCGCAGAAGATCGAGATGGGGTTCGATTGTTCGAACTATCAGCATCAGTTCCGGGAGGCGTTGGGGGAGGGGGCGCTGTCCTTGGAGCCAGATCGGCATGTGTATCAGACGATCTTTCTGAATAAGCAGGAGTCGGATCTATGGACGTGGGAAAGCATCGACAAGGACAAAATCATTGCGAAGAAATGGTGGCATCAGTTCGGACATAATTGGCAACATTATATACGTGTGGTGCCGGGGATGATGTTCATTAATGGGAAGAATCGGACATTATATGCGGGGAGTTGGACGATGGTGGTAAGTACTGTGTATTTTCAAGGTTGTAAGTGCGTGTTTCAGATACTGATGGCAGGCAGAATATGCATGAGATAGCTTGTATATCGGGCATTGCGGCTGCGTATCGACTTGGGGCGGAATATGTGCCGTTTGATGATTTTGCGGAGGATTTCTTTGCTAAGTATTTGCTTGTGAGTCATGGGATGAGGTATAAGCGGAGATAAGTGTGGATTTAGGGGTACACAGGCCCTTCATTCGTTCGTTAGCTTGTATCTACCTACCCATGTTCACGTAGGCAACTAAGCATGAGGGGTACGGTGTGGAAATATTATGGCAATGCACATACCTAGTAAAACTCTATTGACCTGGTATGAGCAGAGCAACTGCATCCACTCACCATTAGGATTAACCATTGGGGTCTAATCGTGCGTAAAAGTAATCGGGGGTCGTCTATGCGCATGCTAGTAAATAAGGAAAGGGTCATAACTAAGAAACGCTGCTGCTAGGGATAGAAATAACCATTGAGCAAACATTTGCTTAGATATGTCAAGGGGCTGAAGGTCCTCATTGTTCCCCAGCTTGGGAAGAATGAAGATCTCAGAGACCGCACAACCCAAAGCCTGTATGTGGCCCGAAGAAGGTTATTGGTAGTGGGAGTAGACGTCAAACCCATATTTGTGGTAGCGGGCATATCATCATCATCCAATAACACCGACTGTTGTAGTTACACTATGCATATTGCCTCTGAAGTTTACTGGCGGACAGCTGATTGTCTTGTCATCTTGTATCCCTTGCAGGATTTTCAGTACTTTTCATCAGTGGACATTATAGAAGTGTAGGACTGCGTGCTAGGGGTGAGAATGAGAAGACAAAGACAAGAGAAGAAGTAGTGATCAGATAATAGATTAGTTTGGGCAGCCGTCATACTTTCTTTCTGCATTTCCCAAGCATTTCTCATATTGGTGGCTGATCCGGCATTCTCGAACAAAATCGGTCAAAAATGGATAGCATGTGGCATATGGTAAAAACATACTTCGCAGAGTCCAACAGTCTCCTACAATTCTGCAGCCATCTCTGTGAATTGAAGTCATTTCCAGACAAGAACAGCAATACAGAATATGGCGTGGATCTAGACGAAGATTGCATGCGCATATTCTCCGCCTTTGGCGATATTTCTCGCCCCCCATGTACATGCAACGAGACCCAATCGCTGTATGATCACATCGATGCATACATCAAGAATTATCGCAGACACCACATTAAAGACTACACCATCCACACCGGCAAAGGCGACACTTGCATCGAAGAAGAGTGTCGATAAGTCATGCGTGAGGTGCTCCAATGGTGGGCCAACTGGCACGGATCTATGGAAGGTCATCGCTGGAAGCACTTGTACATCGCATTTTCCACCATCTCCGATGAAATAGCGATTCCTCCACAAGATATAGCAGATGGTTCTTTCCGCTTTCTGGGAAACTCTTTAGCGGAAGTTCTCGAAGGGCTGCGCTTAGAAGGTGTTCAGCCGGACGATATTAAACTACTGGAGATGTACCTGTGGCGACAGTTCATCATTCAATATCTCGAAAAAGTCGACCCGACAATCCGCGAGACCTTGATAGGAAAGACTACACTCATGACTACATGGAGGGTGTTGACGGCAGGGAATCATGGTGTGGCTGTATGTCTTCTCGCCAGCAAGGGTATCCGACCACAAGGGCAGACAGATCACGCACTTGAAATGGCTAGCATATGCGATGCAATTTCTATGGATTTGGGCAAGGAAGCTCTGGGTGTATTGCAAGATGAACCGACCGAAGCTGTGGCGGGCAAGGATCGCGAGATGCTCAAGCGCGAGCTACGCTGGGTTTATTTGCGGGCTTTGGGGTCCCTTGATCAGGACCCTAGAGGCGCGTTGCTAAGACGTTTTGCAACGTCGGGATTGCATTATGTACTTCTGAATGATCGCTATCGGGAACGTGTTGCGTATGTCCGGTTTCCAATGTCGCCGTATCTGCGGCGCCGAATTGCTGCTTATTATAAGAATGGGTGATATAATTAAAGGAACTGGCTTGCCATAGCTTCTACGTCTTGGTGAATACTCTAGGCTACCTCTAAAAGCATACTAGAACTGGATCCAGAAGCTACTAATCATCCGAGGGGTGGCGGTAAATTGTAGAGCTAGTTAAAAATGGAGCTAAGCAATCATAAGTATGTTCGCGAGCTGCAGCATAGCTCAAGCATTGCCAGCTACAACATAACTTCACATTTTCTGCCCTTCGGAGCAATGAGGGAGTATTGCGCAATCTCCATCGACTCCGGAGTCGTGGATGGGGCCAATTTGATGCCCGCACATTCACGAAAGAGCAGAGCAGTAGCAAAGCGAAGCTCCATCTGGGCCATGTGAAGCCCGATACAAGTGCGACTGCCACCACCGAAGGGCGCAAAAATCGCCTCGGGGTGCTGTTGCTTTTCCAACCACCGTTCCGGGATAAATCTGTGTTTTATAAAAAGAATTGGGTGTTAAAAGGCTCTGAGGTATCCCGTGAAAGTCGGGATGCCGACTTACTGATCAGGTTCAGCCCAGACATTTCCGTCACGATGTAGAGAGAACGACTGCGTGGTAACGATGGTTCCTCCTGGAATTTGATGTCCACACACACTGAACCCAGTAGCTGGAACAATGCGAGGTAACCCAAAGGGAGCTGCGCCGTACAATCGAAGGGCCTCGTTAATCACAGCATTGAGGTAAGGCTGTGCTTCCAGCTCCGAGTCTGTAAATCCCTCCGAAAGGGTTGCCACTTCCTCTTCCAGTCGTGACTGAATCTCAGGGTTCGCCATCACTGCCCAGGTGAGGAAGGTCATCGTCACTGCCGTTGTTCCAGAGCCAGCAACAATCAATATGACGGATTCTAGCAACACTTCCCGATCGGCCATTGTTTCATCGCTGCTCTTCTCGCCCTTCAAACCCGCAAAAATATTTGCTTTGATGAGTTTTCTTTCTGAGGCTCTTTGAACTACCTCCGCTGTTCTCTTTTCGATATATTGATCCGCTCGAGTAAGAGGATCGAAGTAGCCCAGGGTAAAGGTCCTTAGCGCACAGTAGAGGCCGTAGACCTCTAAGCGGAGCGCCCGAGCCTTGTTGACAAACTCTAGCTCTTCGATTTACTTGCTTTTCTGAATCAGAGAAAATCCGAAGTTGGTCAGCAAGGGCTCAAAATATTGGGCCTGATAGGGAGGAGACTAACCTGACCGGATTCAGTCATGCCGAAGGACTCACTGAAAACCAACGCGCCCGTCACATCAGTGGCCATGAATGTCCACCACTTCATCGCATCGGAGGTTCCAACTGCAGCTTCCTTCTTGATTCCTTGTACGGCTGCTGCCGCAAGCCGACGTACAGTAGGTTCCCAATGCTCGCGGAGAGAGCTCTTGCTAAACGGACGGGAGAGCAGTCTTCGTTTACGGGCATGAACATGGGGGTCAGTAGCTGTGAAGCAATTGACTGCTTCGCGGAACCTGATATACCATGGAGCTTTCAGGAAGGGATTGCTGATCTTGTGAATCTCCCGATATCCATCAAAGTCACATACATCTACCTCATCTGGTGCGATACGGACTACAGGTCCATATTTTCGATGTAGTTCATCTACCCATTGGGATCGGTAGCCTTTCAGTGCCTGAAAACGAAGCACAATTCCTGTCCAGGAAGTGTACCACGGCCCAGGCAGATGACGAAGGGGGCTCAAGAACGCTTGCTTCAATATCTGTCTAGGTTTAGTAGGAGGTCAAGGAACAGGCAATTCTGGGAGGAGAAACGTACAAGTAATGAAAGAACGAGGAGTGGCAAATACACCGCTGGCATATGAACCGGATGGTCAAGCAAGGGGACACTTAGCACCAACATCTTGAAGTTGTTGCAACAAAATTCCGTTCGGTAGCGTGGATGCGAATGGTACTCCATATCACGGTGGGTTTTACTCCCCATTTAAAGGTCTGTGATGGAAGTGTTGGCTCGCCTTGCATAGACTGTCCATAGACTGCGTCGGCTTCAGATGATAGTTAGAATGCTGATCGCCGATTCTAACCGGATTCCATCTCTGCCATCCGTGCTATCCGACTAGACACCCTAGGTGCATCATATGAAGATGTACTATAAACAAAGTTTCCCGAAGATTGGGAAAGGTAGGCAGTCTAATCGGAAGTGATTTGAGTTAGCTCATTAGAAGCAAGTCAGGTCACACGTATTGTGTTTGTAAGTTATGGAAGGCAAATGATAACTCACAGTTCAGCACCGCATTCCAGGATCAGCTCGTAGATACTATCTACTAGGGTAAAATGAGTGCCAAAGCGAGTAACAACTGGGTAAAAGGAATGTACAAGCGCAGGTTCGACGTTGAGAATTACATCACGGGATACCATTCGAAGTGCGGTGTTTACAAGTGGTTAACCGGGGTCTGTATGGCTGTAGTAACCCTGTTTCCAAGCAAGTATGACGAGAAGGATATACTCGTAGCTGATTATTGGTGCACTTCTTTGGGCTATCTCACTTTGGACCCAGGTCCAGATCAACACACGGGTCGATGATCATGGTCTCCCGCTGGCGCCCGGTTTTGATATGGTTCCACTTTGGGTTGTGTCCCCTCCCTCCCTCCCTCCCTCCCTCTCTCTTTGTGTCTGTGTGTCTGTTTGTACTTTACTCACAATTAGAGCGGACATGCATCTATCTGGTGGGGTCATCTTACCAGTAAGGAATTATTATGAGTGGAGGAACACCGGGTCAGTTGCTACACCTGAAGATGTGCTCTCCTTTCTTCAGGCTTTAGCTTACCTTCTCAGGCATATGGTAAGAGTCCATATATTCTGTGGCAAGACCATCATTGTACCCACCCACATTCCTCAACCAGGACGGAGTGGATACTCACGCCTCGACACGGATATCACAGAACTGCAGATCTCGGGATCTCCGCAATCACTATCCGCTGGTCCCTCTGTCCAACTAATCGCTGGATTACCACTTAGTCTCTCTGTTTTCTAAGGGACCCGCAGGTGGCAATCGCTTATTCGGTCCAGCCCGGCGCTATGCCAGCCAGAAGGAGGGCATTTACCAAAAAAACCATGCGGTGTGTTCCCTTTGCATACTCTCCTTGACCTCCTATGATTAGTGAGACTTAGACCGGCATAATAGATTCCGGGTGAAGGTTTGAAAGACCGGCACAGTCACATCGGCGCAGATTCACCAACTTGCCGAGTTCCCGGCTTATCCACTTTACCTTACGCATTAAGGTTGTGTATGCTGCTTAGAATCTGGCGTCAACGTTAGGACGTGGGGTGTTTTGAACATGCAATCTACCTCTGATCTTCAAAGTTGTCCTTCTGTAACAGCCGGTGCCTTTTCATTAGCAGGGAAAATGTCCTTGTTGCTGTTGCTAGGGTGGAAATCGACGGCTCGCATGCATGCTTAGCCTTTAATCTGCTTATCAGAATGCGAGTATATTCATTGAGTATTGTAGTATTTTCTTTTTCATAACAATCTAAAGCTGTGTTATGACTACTATGAATACATTAACATGGGTTATAGTAAAGAGAGAATAGCCAGCTGTTGCACAATGCACTTGGCACTAAACCATGAATGACTCATGCCTCCGGATCCCAACACAGATTAGGGCTCGTTTTTCTACTTCTAAGGCGGTATTTAACCAAAGCCCTGGCTGTACTCAGAGCACGGCCTCAGATGCATGTACTAAGCTTACGACTCCTTGTCCAGTACTGGGGCAAACTGGCTTCTTAACCGCAGACGCTTTCCATAAAGCAGGAATGCCAGAGAAATCGGTACCAGGGCCACAGCTAAACAGCCCAACAGTGTGCCCGCCCACTGAATGCCCATATTGGCAAACATCTGCGACGAAAAGAGCGGGAACCCTGCTGCCACGAGCGAGCGGCAGAAGGTGTTTGCTGCTAACGCAGATGCAGCGCTGTAGAATGTCAGAGAGTCTCCGATAAAGAAAAATGAAAAAGTTGTCGAAAGCATGTGGAGATCAAGGAATGGCACTCACTAGGCGAGATATGTATCAATAAGGTAGTTGAACAATTGAATGAAAATCATGAGCAAACCGGCACCTGTGAAGAGACCGCTCAGGGTCGGGACGATCCAATGGATGGTGTCCGTGAACCCAGTCCAGCCGAGCCAGAAGAGCCCTGCGGAAAATAGAACGCCGCCCACAATTGCTGGCGGTAGTCGCCACTCTGGAATAGGGATATTGTTGTTGGCCTTTAGCTTGGCGTTGTAGGTCTTATTCACGTAGACCATGTAAACCGTTGCAGCGAGCAGGCCCACGACATTGGACAGCATCGGAAGCCCGCTGACACCGGGAGACATGGCATAGACACCTTGAAAGATGCTACTGTAAGCAGATAAAAAGCAGTAGAGTAAGCCGTAAACAAAGCTGAGGTAAATCGTGACAGCTATAATAAGCGGCTCTTTGAAAAGCATTTGCAGTGGCCGCCCTAGGTTGTTGACAACCAAATCATGTGGAGTAAGTTCGACCTGCTCCTGTTTCGCATGGATACCCCAATTGCCGGTAATTTGGCGCATTTTGATTGCTTTTGAAGTCAGAATTTGTGGCGCATAGGTTTCCTTGAGAAATAGCAGATTAAGAATACATGTTGTGTATCCCATAAATGAGGGTATATAAGCAGTCCATCTCCAGCCAAGATATGACTTGTTTATAAACCCTCCAACACAGGATGCAACTAGCGGGCCCAGGAAGACAGTATTAGAAAAGAGGGCAATAGCGATCCCACGTGTCGAATTGTCATACATATCAGCGAAGATAGCGGCAACATTGATGAGCGGACTGCTACCGAATACACCACAAAAGAAGCGACAAATTATCAGGGTCTGGAGGTCTTTGGACACAGCAACAGCCGTATTGAAAATACCGAAGCCCAGCATAGCCACGACGATAGGGAGCCGGCGACCATGGCGCTCAGACAGAGGAGCCCAGACTAGAGGGCCAAACGCATAGCCAGCAATGTAGACTGAGCTTGCCAAAGCCGCCACTTCGACACTGACATGGAATTCCTTGGCCACTGCGCTCATGGATGGACTAAAAACGGCGGAGTCGAAGGTCGAGCTGATGCAGGTGAATGCAAGCATGACGCTGATATACAGCCTGAATTTTCAGGGAAGACAGCCTGTCAGTTGCGGCGCGGAGAAGTTGGAAATGAGATCTTCCTACCTAGTGCGCATCGGCCAGTTCTGAGGAAAAGCCGGGTCATCTGGCCCGTCAAAATCGACGACATAGTCCTCGCGGTCCGGCAGTAGCGGTGGATGTGGTCTACCTCGACCAAAAGAGAGCATATGATTAGCTGCATCATTGGGCAGTCCGCGTTCCATGTCGTTCTGGGTACTGCTGCATATGTCGAATAATTTGATCGGGAGTGAATCTGGCATGGAACTAAAAGGAAGGTAGGACAATGGTCAAGATCTTGCCGTCGAATATGTCCGGGGCTACTTTTGGTGTCAACTTTTTGAACGCTGTCGGCCTCTGCTCCCTCATGGGCGCGTCTCCTGTCCCTGTATACTTAAATGCGGTAGTCCGTGGGCGTTTATAGTGGATAAAGCCAACAATGTATCATCACAAATCATAAGCCTATGCCGATATATCCGGTATGCTAGTCACGCTAGTGAACAATCACCGGAGAACCCACCTAGGACGTCGGAGCCCAGGAGCTCACCGCGATAGAGAAAGAGGCGGCAGACGTCTCGGCGTAACCAAAACCGTGGCAACAAGATAATTAAAGGATTCAGACGAGGCGCTGCACACCGAAGTGGTGGTGGGTCTTAGCTTACGCAGTTACCTAAGGCCTCAAGGGCAGTCGTCACACCAGAGATTGAGCAGCGAACCATCATTAGCAAAATTTCAGAGTTAGACTTGATCCTATCCAGTGTCTCAGCAGAACCCGGCCATGATACCTTGGATCTAGCCCCATCTTACCTGCGATCATACTCTTTTTTCTTACTTACTGAAAGAATGACCCAGCCCTTGGGGCGTTGATAACTTAGCTCGTATCACTTCTTACGCTTGAGGGGCACTCAAAGGTACAACAGGCCTGATGATCGGCACACCACATTACCCAAAGAACTTTCTGTCCAAGCCAGATGCCACTGTCTTTCAGTTGAAAAGTCATGGAAGGTGATTCTCCCCAGTGTCATTCCCTGGGCTCAAGATCATTCAACATGTCTGCGCTGAATAGTAATGCACTATTTGGGGTTATCTGCAGTATCCGGTAGCTTGTAGGAAGTCAAATGTATCCGCCTGTGAGATGGGAAAGATGGTTGGGGTCAAATATATCTTTAGAGATGTATACATGCATTGTTAAGTAGAGAACGTCTGAAATAATATCCATGAGAGTAGCTATCATTTCAAGGTACCATAACTTGGAATTATCTTGATGACTATTTTTGCATCCTGTTATTTGTAGTCTTCTTCTTTCATCTTGCCAGATGCTGTATGAATATACATTTCCAGTCATGTGACTTGAGGGTTTCTTGGGGGCAGAATGTGGGAAAAGAAGTCGAGTTGAAGGGTCGAAAAATGTGGGAGGCGTCGACAGGTTAAGGGAATTGAAATGCTACCTGGTCGGCGGTCGGATGTTCCTGATCCGGTTCCACAACATGAACATGAGCGGATCCATGGCGCTTGGCAGCTGCATGTTGCGGTTTAGCAACAGACTGCCAAGGCTTTACGGGACCTGTACTGGACTCCATCTTATACTATGAAAAATGTTGCAGCAATCCCTGTATGACAATTCGTTGGCAAGCTCCAGGGTGGTGAGGGGAGCGAGAGGGTTATAAAGGTCCAAGTACACCCTCCGAAAGTTCTGATGTCCCTCATATCCAACGGATTCTCCATTACCATGAGCAACATCTATGGCATCCGGCCCTTGGCCAGCAAAGTCGCCTTTGTTGCCGGTGTTAACGGCATCAGTGGCAGTGCCATTGTCGACTATCTAATCAAGCAGCCCGCCAATGAGTGGTATGTCATTTAATCCCCCCTCCCATGTTCTCTGCAGGCCACGCCTACTCACCACTACCTAAGGGCGGAGATAATCATCACGTCGAGAAGTCCTCTCAAGACCGTTTACACCGACCCAAGGGTGCGATTCGTCGCCATCGACTTCCTTGCGCCGGCCGAAGCCATCGTCGAGAAGATCAAGGAGCTGTGCAAGGACGTTACCCATGCTTTTTTCACCTCGTACATCCACAACAATGACTTTTCGGTACTGTACAAAAAGAATGGTCCCCTTTTCCGTACCTTCATCGAAGTGGTGGACCTTGCCTGTCCTAAGCTGCAGCGTGTGGTGTTACAAACCGGAGCCAAGGTAAGCAAGATATGTCAAATCTCTTCGGTCTCAGTACATATGATATCTTCTGACTGTTGGCCAGCATTACGGGTTCCAATACAGGGACATTACAACCCCCTTATTGGAAGACATGCCTCGCTATGAAGGCCCAGAGAACATCTTCTACTACGAGCAGGAAGATGACCTTTTTGCTGTTCAAAAGCGCCGCAACGCCTGGAGCTACAACATCATTCGCCCCGGGGCCATCATCGGCTACAGCTGTCAATGTACGCATTAACCCCCTTCTATCGCCTTTCGCTTCCATTGCTAACATTCTAATCTCTTTTTTCAATACGGCAGACCTCGGAATCAACGAAACTCTCCCACTAGCCCAATACTTCCTGATCTGTCGAGAGCTCGGTGACGCACCACGCTGGCCCGGTAATCTGCAAAGCTACCACCGCGTCGAGAAACAATCGTCCGCCCCTGGAATTGCCAACCTTACTATCTGGGCAGCTACCCAGCCCCACTGCAAGAATGAGGCCATTAACCATGATGATGGGGATGTGATCGTCTGGAAGTTCCTCTGGCATTTGCTAGCCAGATACTTCAAGGTTCCAATGGACAAGTTTGAGGCCCCTACTGAGGCAACACAACCATTTGATCTGGCCGAGTGGGCTCAAGACAAGAAGCCGGTATGGGAGCGCATTGTCGCCAAGTACGGTGGCGATCCGGAGGCGTTCCAGCTGGACGCCTTCCAGCTCATGAACTGGTATATCACACCCGCGCCCAACATGAAACCCTTTATCACTACGGTCGTGAAAGCACGTCAGTTTGGTTGGAACCACAGCGATGATACCTACCAGTCGTGGCTTAACACCATGCGTGCATATGAGAATGCCGGTGTGCTGCCAATTCTCCCGTAGTCTTTTGGTCAGTTTACCAAAGCAAGCAGAGCGGAGATGACAGCAGATAGGATGACGGAACTTGAATCCACATTCTAGATGGAGACTGGTTTCCCAAGAATAAAATCGAATTTTACTTTGAGAAGGTATTCAAGACACGCGTTTCTTGCCATATCTACCATTCGTATATTTGCCCACTCCATCCTTTGGTCTTTCCCCTGACTATGTAGTCTCGGCATTCAGTACAATATTAGATTCACGTCTTTGAGCGGTAGACACTCTAGTATACTATTTGTTCCATTCCCCGCCTAAGACGATCGAGTAGATGTGGTTAGAAAGTTTATTTCCGGTTGGTGATGAGACTAATTCGCGTACAAACATTGTACTAGGATACAAATGGTACAATTTCAGCTAATATAAAACAACTTGAATTAGAAATCAACGTAAAGATGTGGGAATATATGTCTCTTTATTGTCTACAGCCAATATTCTATGTAGTCCCCCGCACCTTATTTATGACAAAGTACTGGAAGTTCCCAACGGTGAACTTGACAAAAACAGTTCGTTTCTGACCCACGCGGAGCGCCCGCTTAACGGCCTATTTCTGTATAGCCCCGGAGGTGGCCGGGGAGAAGAGGTGCAAATTGTGGCAAAGTCCCTGGAGATTAAGCCCGGCTGAGCTTATAAGGTAGCTCATGACTAAGACCATGCAATTATTTGGCTGCCGGGTGACTACCTTTGCACAGAGGTGGGTTGATGTCCGCTAAGTTGACTGAATAACCCTTGAGTAGGATCATGCAACTCTCTCACTCCGTTACAAACCATATGGCCATGTTACTGCACTCCTTGGAGCTCAACACAACGTGAAGATTGGCATGGTCTAGCCCCTCTTCTATCAGTGTCGCACTCATATATACTCCCTCACCTGGGATATGTGTCCTCTCTCTTGGCCTCTCCCTTCTTAGTAGGACTTTTTCACGAAGAACCAGTAGCATGGCCCGCAATTTTTGTGAACACCAAGCGTTTGAGGCCACCTGTGCCTGGTTTGAAGTCAGTGATAGGCTATGGGACTTCTCCAGTCATTTATAAGGTGAGCAGGAGCGTGATCATTGCAGTGGCTTATCTGGCGTTGACCACGGATAAGTACTGATGTATAAGATGTTTCATGACTCTGGGCTTTCTATCTCGCCTCTGACAGCTATCCTGTCGAGCCCCCATAATATAACTTATGTATCTTCTGAGTAGCGGGAAGCCTGTATCAGTCTATATCATCTTTGTACTTGCGATTCTGCTCCCTGATGTGAAGCTAGGAGTCCCGAAATAATCTAGAACCTTCAATTCGTTACTCACACCACCAAGCTTTGCTGCCCACTGTTCGAGTAAGTGAGGGGGCACTCTTCGAGGCCCTGAGAACACGACATATGCGGTCGACGTCGTCGAAGAGCACCGGGTTGTGGGATTTCCACTGCGTGTATTCCCGCCTGTCTTTATTATTGGTCCAGAATCGCCGGCGGATTGATGATTATGGGGTTGGCAACAGGTGTGCGGGTGTCAGTTATGTTTAGTATAATAATAGCAGTCCATGCATTGGTATAAGTCTGGTAGATAAAAACAGGACATTCAAACTGCGCTCTAGCTCCGACCAGCACTGATCTGTATACAAATTAATCTGCCAGCTTATCTTTATAATTAAGTAACTGCTCACGGTTAACACGAGCTGCATCACCGCCTAAAACATAGAAGCCTTTGTAGACTGGGTAATAGTATTAGCCACTATCTTTAATCCACACAGTTAGTCCCTTAGGAATACAATTAGAACGAATCTCGTTACGGACTGTAAAGTCGCGTTTCCACCATTAGCCGCGGATATGCAATAAATTACTTATATCATATATGATTGCATATACCCAGGCATCATACAATTAGATATTTTATATCGGAGTGGTCACCTACTCACCAAGAGAAGCATTCATCAACCAGACTGCCTGATATATAGCCCAGTAATTTCTAACAGCAAAAACAGGTGATCCTCCTTGCATAGGCATGTCAGGTCCAGGGAACATGCCATTATACCAAATAGTTAGAAGAATATAGTAAGGCATGTTCCCTTGGTATATATTCAGCGCCCTATCCATCGCGGATCGATCGGCAGCGGTGACTGTGCGTGCTGCGGCCATGTTCCACACTTCAGACAAGTATTGTAGGAAAACAAAGGCGAACATTTCGGGATGCCGCTTGGTGACATCTGATTCTGAATTCTGGCGTTAGCACCAAATTCCTTCTTCTTCGGGGCCTTGAACCTCGAGAGCGTGGAATTCAATTTCCCATCCGTGGATAACGTTCAAAACCGCCAGAAGTAATTCATTTCCCATTAATGAAGCTCGACCTTGGCTTCCAAATACCTCTGGGTTTTGATCCGACACATAAACTTGCGCCGGTGCAACTTGGCAGGATGTACAGTGTGTGCATAGTTGAGCATATCCATCTTCAACCGAGAACTATGAGCAATTTACTGAGAAGGTCCAGTAAACGTAGAGTCTGCCCGTTTCTGTGCGATACAGCCTTTATTCTGTCCTGTCGAGCTAGTCAGATGGTGATGTTTTACCCGTTGTATATGAAGCAATGAAGTTTCTATCCAACTCCAACTGCATAAATAGGATATCTTTATTGTTAGAACCCCAATATTTGGATATACTCCTCTGCAGCGCAAGGGATAGGCTAGAGGTCGGGTTCCGCAGCATGTGCCTCGTCAAAGACTGTAATCTCAAACGATTCCTCGGCCTCTTCCTCCTCTTCCTCGTCTTCCTCCTCTTCCTCCTCTTCCTCCTCCTTGGCCTCCTCCTCGGCCAGCGGCACCAGTGCCGTGGTCCTTAAGTAGTTGTAGTTGTGGTAGCAGTTGTGGTTGTAGTTGTGGTTGTAGTTGTGGTTGTAGTATTAGTAGGCGTAGTAGGCGGCGGCGGCGACAAATAGACGGGACTGGAGTATGTCGGCATTTTGGGGTACAGTGGGTCATACTCGCTTTTTGTCTTTGCGCACCATGCCTTGACTGCCCGGGGTTCATGCCAGCTTTCCCATGTCCGGTATGATGTGATCATTAGTGTCCGGGCGCTTTCAATGCCTCGCCTGAAGGTGCGATTGTGTTGTGGTGGGCTTCTCTTGCATGAAGCCGGCTACTTGGTGGGTTTCCATAAAGAGGCTTAGCAGTTTGATCATGTAGTCGATAAGAATAACGCTCCGAGTACTCGCCAGGCCTAGACAGGACACTTTCACCGCGGATGATGTCACAGATATTGACCAAGCACATAGCATGGGTTGCGTTTTAATCCGGTGATAGGCTAGCATTGCCTCTGACGGGCCCGATGATGCACCACGGAATAGCAGCTGCGCTTAAAATCTCGTCCACCAGCAGGTGGTATCTCGATAAAGGTCTTTATTGCGCTGATTATCGGTAAGCAGCAGCCCTATAAGTTGGCATTGGACCCTCCGCTGATCTCCCGTATCACTGTCCACTATGAAGGATGCGGAGAATGGGGGTTGTTCTGCGGAAATATCCGAGTTACTCTGTGCCAGTGCATGTTCAAGAAGAATGTGGATTGAGACATTGTTGAAGTGATTGCAGTGGAAATACTTCGTTGGTGTAGCAAGATTCTCAAGCCTCTTCGCCTTTATAGGTCGCTTGGCCGCATCACTGGGTCAACGGGAGCCTCCTTCCTCTTGGCAAGATGGAGGGCCATGTTGATACAGACAATCCTCCAGTAGTTTTCAGACGGGTCATATTTGGTAGACTTCCGCTTCAGCTCGATCTTCTGCTTTGGGGTCAGCACATCATCCATCCAAAAGTTGCCGGAGCTAGTCTGTCTTTCGGGCTTTCATATAGTCATCCATATGATTTCTCTTAACATTGTAGATCGAACTCACATGGGGCTTCTTGATATATTCCGACTGAAGTATTGGGATGAGCATATAATTATCGTGCGTTAGTCTCTGGGTATCAAGTCGAAAGATTTTTTGCTCGGCTCTGACCACGGCCTGTACCTCGGATAATTGCTTCTGCAGACAGTTCACATTTGTGTAATCTTCATCCGTATAATGACTTGCTTCCACTGTATTCTCTTCGTGGTCCGTGGCCGTAAGTGGACTCTCTTTGTCCGTCCAACGTTTCGATACGATATTGTTTTTCAGGGCAACAGCACTAGGATATTACCCGTTGTGGACTACGAACGTCAAGTTAAAATTTTGAATCTCTAGACCGCGGAGGACGACATTCATATAGAAATGCTGTCGGCCTTTGGCAGTATATCATGGATTTCTACCTTGAGGTTTCCTTGCTGCACACTGCTCAAACGTGCTATCATAGCTTATCATGAGGTGACCAAGATATAGCGGATTGTACTTTCGAAATCTGACATTGACAGAGAAGGACCTTGTTCTAAGGGGAAGCGTAGTTCTTAATTTGGAAGATATAAGAAAGAGAGAGTTTAGAGCGCGATGAATGACGGCTTATATAGCTGGGATTGCTCGCTCAAATTCACCTCGCGAAATACTTCATCGCCAGGTATTAACTAATGCCAAGGCCATTACCTCTACCAAACTATTCGTGTCTTCAAGAATTCATGTATCGAGCAAAGCTCCATTATTCACTAACACTATGGCAGTAATCCCACCTAACTAGTACATGTCAAGTGGATCAATATATACAACCAGACATCCTAGGGACGCCGTCTTGCCTCACCTCCAAAGCGAGTAATTTAGCAAGAAGCACCGGAAGGAACGTTCTCGCAGTCATCGCTGGCCTTTCCACCAGAGAGGTCAACACCGGACCAGGTCCAGTCGGAGCAAGAGCCGTCACCGCAGAGGATGTAGACCTGGGTGGCGTCGTCCTCAAGAGTACCGGTGATACCGTCAACGGTGACATCGGTGATGGGGATACCAGTGGAGGGGGTGCCGGTGGGGGAGCCGTTCTCGTAGTCCTGCTCGATGACGATACCGTACTTGGTGATGCCGGAGAGCTGGATGTTGGAGTAGGTGATCTCGCTGACATCACCGGTCTCCTTGTAGATGGTCTTGATGCGGACACCGTTGGCAGAGTCGCTGACGGTGGAGTCGGAGATGGTCACGTTCTTGACGGTGTTGTCATCACGGCCACCGACGGATCCGATGGAGAGACCGTGGCCACCGGAGCAGGTACCGCCAGTGAAAGAGATGCTCTGCAGATTTATTGTTAGTGAAATGCATTCATTGGATGGTTGTGGTGGTGAGGATATCGTACCTCGCCAGAGTTGATGGCAATGCAGTCGTCCTGGTTCTTGACGGTAGCACCGCTGATGTAGACACCAGTGGACTCGCTGATGTCGAAACCGTCGGTGTTGTGGCCACCGTTGTCATCACCGTCGGAGTTGTCGATGGTGAAGTCGTTCAGGTGGACATTGGTAGCCTGGACACTGATGGCCTGGACGGGGGTGTTCTTGACGTTGATGCCCTTGAAGGTGGAGTCCTCAACATCGTGGATGTACATGAACTTGGGCTTGGTCTTGCCACCGTTGGTGCCCTTGCTGTCCCACCAGCGGGAACCGTCACCGTCGATGACAGCGCCGTCAGCCATGGTGACAGTCAGGTCCTTACCACCGAAGCGGATCAGGGGACCCTTCCATTCCTTGTAGCCGAAAGAAGTGGTACCTTCGAAGGTGATCTAGGTGATGTTAGCGTATTGGCGAAGATGAGAGACGGCTGAGAAATACATACGGTGGAGCCATCAGCAGCGTCGGACAGGTCGAGGGTCTCGCCAGCGGGGACCTCGATGCCGCTCAGGACAACATCGGAGCAGCTGGAGATGCTCTCGCTGGCCTCAGAGGCAGAGGTGAAAGTGCAGGTGGAGGCCTTCTTAGCGAACTCAGAGACGCGAGAGGGAGCGGGAGCGGCAGAGACGAGGGAGCCGACAGCGGCCAGGCCAAGAAGCTGGTAGGAGTGCATGGTGATTGTTTGAATAGGTTCTGGTCAACAGAACAGGTTTCGATCAAAAGAATGGACGGGGTCTGGTCAACAGAAAGAAAGGAGAAGGAGTGGAAGAGTGAGGTGTTGTTGGATAGAGCATCTCAACGACGGAAGTCCTGGAGAGTTTTATACGTGAAATACTGAATCATGCTAAGCTTCTGTTCCTGAACAAGGCAGTGAGATACCCCCATTATTGGTGGAAAGACCAAGGAGACCCTCCGATCCACCCGGGTATCAATCTCTAACGGCGATGGGCGCTTCAGCCAGGGATACCGCCGGCACTGCATGCATCGCAGCATTGGTAAGCACCAAGGTTCGTGTCATCCGGCGTATCCCAAACGCTAACGGGCTTACAGTCCGGCCAACTTCGCCCCAAGAAGGCATTGATTGACGCTTGGGCTGAAGGTCGAAGCATCGGCGGCTCTCGGCACTGCTCGGCATCTCCACTGCTGATGCCGTGTCTTGCTCTCTTCCTCCATCTGCCCCATCCAGCTTATCCACGCTGTTTCACTCTGTCGCAACATTCTTGGTGGATGCACCGGCAGAGCATGTATCATCTCGGCAATTCTCAATGCCAATGCATATTCCTCGCCATCCGATGGTCCTTGGAATTTGGTGATGATATCGATATAGACTGCTTTGGGACCCACCAACACTACGGATCGGTCGGAAAAGACCGCACTGACGAGACTAGAAACTGCCACTGCCGATCCCACTATCGAGACGCTGGCAGAGACCCTTTAGGGCATTTACAGGGTCCGCGAATCAATATGGCTGATCCTTTCGGCGACATTCCTTTCAGGGGTTCGACCCTGGTTCCTCGGCTGATCATCGGATAAATTTAAGGAATATTGTGCACACGAACGCAGACATTCTTCCGATACGCGATCATGCCAGCTTCTCCGATAGCCGACCATCTCATGTCTTACAAGCCCATGGGGTAATGCAATGCAGTGGGATGATATTGTGGGCTGTGGCGTCGCAGGAATCTTTCTATTCTCACCTTCAATTTCTTCATCTTCCGGGCCCGCAGTGGGTCGGCACCAACCCTAACCTGGATCCATGGAAGTGTGAAACCTCAACCCCGTTGTACTTCCAAGGGATCACACTGGTTGGAACAAAGTGATGCTGTCCATGGCATGGAAACCAATATCTGCGTCCTAATATCAGTTAATTTGTCACATATTCTCACCCGTGTCGAGGTCAGCTCTGGACTGGACTTCTTCCTGCCAAGAAATCCGCGATATTAAGTGTAGTCGAACTCCGGGCGGTCTCAACCGCCAGTAAATTGATACGATCCGTCTTGCTGGAGCTAATCACTGCACTCTGTCGAGCATCATTATACATCTGTGGCTAATACATCTTACATCACTGGTTCGTGTCCTATCATCCAAGCGAAGGGGCTGTGTCGATCAACCCGTAGGGCCTGCAAGAGCGAACTGCTTTAGACACGGAGTCCATCGACAAAGGTTTTTCCACGAAGCAGAATGCATCCTTTACAGATTCTTGAGTTGCAGGGGAACACCGGAGTGGAGCAGGTCTAAGATAGCTAAGAGATTCAAGGCTGGTGGTATTCGCGGGATTCTAAGACTATTATCAGAGTCAAGCACAATTATCCACCCGTAAATGAGCTTAACTTATCTGTCTTTCTTGGCAGAACGGGATTCGCAAGCCATCTGCTTCCGGGGGGTTCTAGGGGGTGTGTAACATGCCCCGTCCACTATCGTCGGCTATAGAGGCACTACTCAGTCTCGGACTTGGTCTTGTCCGATGCAGCGCCATCTGGGGGGGCAATATACAGGTTTTTTCGTATATTCGTATTTCGAAACGTGAAATCGGGAATAATCTAGGGTACAGTCGAAGTAAAGATTAATTCATATACAATCTCGAAAAATTATTTCTTCTTTGGTGATTTCCGTATATTACCAGCGAAGCGAGAAGCTCTTGGACGTCTGCATGCGAGACAACGTCCTTGAGTGAAGAGTCAACACCATCACAGAAAAATAGGCGGTGAAACGTGCAGGTTGTTAGCTACACAGTACCAAGAGTTAGCTGGCGCGTACTCGTTCCTGCCTAGCCTGTAAAAGTCTTGGCTATGGTGGGACTGGCCTAGGGAGCTGTGGGTGGTATGATCCTGGGGCCCCTTATACGGAGAAGCAGGAAATGCACTTTAGCTTAACGGTATCTTCTCCCAATGTGTTGAATAGTGGCATTTGAGCGACATAGTCTACTCCCAACAACCAGGGTGTGACATGAACGTGCAAAGCCGCGCTGAATTCGCATTATTGCCAGCATTGTTGGTCGCAAATGTATGATAACAGATTTAGCTTACAGTGTACGTTTAAAATAAGGTGGCAACCACGAACATTTCCGACGGTATCAACGACGCAGTAGGTTGGAATAACTCGTTAATCAGCACAACAATAATGTGTAAAGGGGAGACTGAAGCAGCAGCATTCGACTTCTCAATAACTCATCTCAGTCCGTTTTTCATTCCAACGCCACGGCTTCGAATCCTCGAGGGCGTTGTGATAGAATGAAGTCATTGTTATGATGCACCTCTTCAACATGGAATCATGTTGTTATTATCCTTTTACTATACTGTTAGACTTATAGAATTATACATGGCTTAATCCTGAAGTCACTCTATGCTCTCTATTTCGCACTTCCTACTCACTCCATACACAATTTTTAGGCGCCTCTTCTACTCTACCTGAATATTGTCTAACCCACTTAACTATACGTACTATACACATCCCTTAATGCACCGGGGTGTCCCCAATCTCCAGCATCGTCTCATCCAACAGCCTCGTCAACTCAACCACCACATCCGCATACTTAGCGTCGTGATACACATTAAACAACTCAAGAGGATCCTTCTCGCAATCAAACAACTCCCACTCCTTCGGCTGCCCACCCTCCTGCGTTCCCGGCAAGTCAAAATCCTCCGCATACCAATAAATCAGCTTATAGCGCTGATTGCGGACCCCATAATGAGCATACGCATTATGAATAGGATCCCGATGCATCCAATACCGATGGTACGCAACCTGCTTCCAATCCGCCGGCGTCTTCCCCTTAAGCAGCGGAGCAAACGACACTCCCTGCATGTACGAGGGAATCCGCAGCCCAGCAAGATCCAACCAAGTCGCCGCGAAGTCCACATTAGAGATAATATCATCGCAGACCGATCCCGGCTTGATAAGCTTGGGGTACCTAATCAGAAACGGCATCTGGAAGGACTCCTCATACATGAACCGCTTATCGAACCAGCCATGCTCACCCAGGAAGAACCCCTGATCGGAGGTATAAATAACCACCGTATTCTCCGCCAACCCCTCCTCATCCAGATAATTCAATAACCTCCCCACATTCTCATCAATCGAATGAATCGTCCGCAAATACCGCTTCAAATACCGCTGATACTTGAACCGGCGCAGCTCCTCATTACTCTTGAACGTAAACACCTCCGCCGTATCCTTATCAATCAATCGAAACCCGTCGATATCCGCATCAGACACATTCGGAATCTTCCTATCGGTGGACCGACTCCCAAACAGCTCCCCTACCTCAGCGCCTCCCTCAGGCTGCACCAGCCCCAAATCGAAGTACGTGATGTCACTCTCAATCCGCATCTTAGCTACCTCCGCAGCCTTTGCCCGGTTCTTGTAATCATCATCAAAGGTATCCGGCATCACCACATCCTCTTGATACAGTCCCCGATGAGCAGGATGACACTCCCATGACCGGTGTGGTGCCTTATGATGACACATGAGGAAGAACGGCTTCTTCTCCCCATCCCCATTGCTTCTATTCTTCAACCACCCCAAACACTTATCCGTAATTACATCCGTCGCATACCCCGGCTCAACCACCTTCTTCCCGCCCATCTCAATGAATTCTGGATCAAAATACCTCCCCTGTCCTGGCACCACGCTCCAGTAGTCAAAGCCCGTAGGTTCATGGTCCTCCCCCTCGCCTAGATGCCATTTACCGATCATGGCGGTCTGGTAGCCGCCGGTGCGTAGGTGCTTGGCGACATTAGGCAGGTGTTTGTTGATCTTGCTGTCCAGGGTCATGACCCCGTTCACGTGGTTGTGGGTGCCTGTAAGGATGGTGGCGCGGCTGGGAGTGCAGATGGAGTTGGTCACGTAGCAGTGGTTGAATTTCATGCCGTCGTGGTAGAGTCGGTCGATGTTGGGGGTGTGGTTGATGTTGGTGTTGTAGGCGCTGATGGCTTTGGAGGCGTGGTCGTCGGCCATAATGAAGACGATGTTGGGGCGGGATGAGGGTGGCATGGTGGGTGGTGGAGAGAGGGTTGTGGGCGTTTGGGGATGAAGAATTCTGATTGTCATTTTTGGTTCTGGGTTGAGTGTATTTCTTTGTTCATGAAGAGGATGGGGGTTGTGGTATTATAAGTGTCTAGAAGGTGGTTGGAATTGTCGATCCGGGTAAGGTTTATTTGGATGGGACGATGAGGGGCATTTGGCATAACTACTTTGTACTAGTAGCGGGGGTTATACACGGGTATCTTAATGTTGTTGGTTTCAGTTATTGGTCAATTGAGTGTATAGTGAGGGGGAATCAAGGACGACGCGTGGTGTTCCTGCGCTAAAGGGTTGCGAGAGAGAGCTCGTTGCTGACGCCATCGGAGCGGTTGATTGGATGTCTGGCCTCTCTTTTTAAAATGGCGACGGCGGAGGCTGAGTTGATTTTGGCAAACTCTTGTAGAATATTTAACTTGTGCCATTATTTCTGGTTGGTAATTGACTAATTCCATGTCTGCTGCTTTGCGATGCTTCATGCTTTCAAAGGGTACTGAATAGTACGCTTGTTTTGTCGGTTGAGATGAGCTACTGCGGCTGCGGGATCACCAACACAACTAATCGGTTCAAATTTCACTCAATAGGTATAGGCGTGATAGCGATTAGCATGGTGGAGTGCATTGTTAAGGCCTGGTAGTAGAGATATAACCTTAA